TGGACTTGTACAATTTATTTAGTCACTTTTTGAAAATTATGTCTAGTAGGTGGCTTGCCCCAGCTGTCACCACAAAATAGGCCCTTTTTTCGACGTTTTTCATAACTTTTGCGAATGTTTAAGGCGTTATTTCGGCGATTTCTTGACGTATGGTGGCCTTAAGTTACTCGAGAATGTCTGACTTGTTGACATAGACCTGGCTCCTAAGGTATCCGCACAGGAAAAAGTCAAGAGGCGTTAAATCAGAGGAACGCACCAGCCAGTCATAATCGCCACTTTTCGATATCAATCAATTTGGAAACATGGTACGCAGCAAATTCATTGTTAATAGAGCAGTATGGCATGTTACACCATCTTTCTGGAACCAGTAGTTCTCCATGCCATTTTCTTCGAGTTCAGTTGACTGTCACCGTCGCGCCGTTGTCACGTTCGTGAATATACGCTTACAGTAGCTATAGCGTCATCACTACGGCATGTACGGGTCTTAACTTTGGGCTTCGATGTTGCCAAAGAACCATTGGCATTGAATTTCCCCACAAAACTTCGAATTGTCTTGGCTGTGGGCGTTGGACGACCGCGATATTTTGCTCTGTACACGCGTTGAGCTATCGTAACAAAGGAACTTTTATGGATCTTAAATTTCTCCATTTCTGCACGTTCTCTAGATTTGTGGTTAAAATTGTACTACAATAACGTTTCCAATGCGCCATCAAACATGGCGATTTGACATGAGGCTCAAAGTAACACAAAACTAGATGGAGAGGTCGATGTTGGGTGTAACCCTGAGGAACCACATACTAAATGAAGACCTATGAAGAAGAACTGGCGTAAATGATGTGGTCAACATGGTGACAAAGCTTGATGATAATAATCATAATAACTTGATCTAATCTAAATTACGACAGATTCGTCTAATAGTAATACGTTTTCGATCGTTGGCAATTCTTCGTCTTCAACGTCCATTTCATCATCTTCCTCTTCATTTTTTTCGGAATCTGATATATTTTTACTTGTATCACTTTTATACGTACTGTTTAGGTACTTAGACATCGCATTTTGTTTGGCGCGTCTTTTGTCGTATGTGGCTGGACATCGGTTTGTGTTTTAGTCTTTTCAAACCCATCGAATTCGTATCACAACTAGAAATTATTTTCAAAGAGAACATTTCTATAAAATGATTTTTTTTGCAAAGAATATGGCTAGACGGCAGAATCGACGTACAACATTGCTTGACAATGCATATGAAAGTGATGATAGTGATTGTTTGGAGGACATAGAAGAACAATTTCAGAAAATTTGTGCATCAGAAATCGAAAGTGGTGAAGATTCAGAGAACATGGTTATATTCAGACGTATAAACATAATTAGTCATACATCTGAAAGTAATAAAGAAACGGACCAGAATAGCGATTGGCAGAATGTCACTGAAAATGACACTTATTCGAGTTCCATCGAATTTTCTAAGAGAGACAAGGGTCAAGCGCCGCAAGTTCCGAGTGATTGCATTACACCTCTGCAGTTTTTTCATTATTTTTTACGAATGAGCTTGTTAGCAAAATAGCGCCAGAAACAAATTTATATGCTCAAAAAATAATTAGCAGAAGTGAAGTCTCTGTGCACTCATTATGGCATAATTGGTATAATGTTACAGTTACTGAATCAAAAGTATTCCTTGGTATAATTGTCAACATGGGATTGATGCCTCTGCATGATATCAAAGATTATTGAAGCAAAAAATTCCACGTATACATTCCATTTTATAATAAAATTGTTAAACGTAAATGATTTCTACAAATATTTTGGGCAATGCATTTAGAAATCATGCCGCAAACAGACGATAAGGAAAGAATTTCTCTAGATAAAGTTGCCTATTTTCTTAACTACTTGGCCAATAAATTTAGACAACATTTTGTGCCAGCACAGAATATCTGTGTAGATGAATCCATCCAAAGGAAGAATTTCGTTCAAAACGTACAATCTCAAAAAACCAAACAAATGGGGACTTCGTCTATACGTATTAGCTGACTTATCTTGCGGGTATTTATACACATTTTTACCATATTTTGGACAACAAACGACAAACGCACTAATTTACCCTGATTTACCAGTCACAAGCCGGACTGTTTTACACCTGTATAATAATCTACAACAGTCAATACTCGAAGCTATAGGATAGCATATTTTTACCGATAGACTCTATAGTAGCGTCATACTTGCCGAAAAATTACTTAATTTACAATGTCATTTAACAGGAACAGTTATGACGAATAATCGTGGATGTGGAGAACGTCAAGATCCCAAATTGTCAGAAGTAGAGGAGTTGGGGATAATAGAACGCAGCGAGTTTTTAAGCCAAGTACAATAGTGCAATGTAATAAAAACATGAGTGGCGTCGATTTAGCAGACCAATATATTGCAAGTTTCTGCTTCCTTCGTGAAACCCTAAAATGGTGGAGGAAACTTTTTTTTTTAGTATAGAAGCATCTATCATCAATGCTTACATTTTGTACAAAGCATCTTTTACTAATACCAATATAAACATGTCTCACAAATAATAGACAACCTAAGCCTTGACGTCATAGAGATGGGCGGAGCTTATACCGATTCCAAACATTTTCGTTGCTAACTATGTTGCTAACGGTAAATCACCATATGCAATTTTTTATTAGTGTTAAATAAACTAAGTGATGACATTTCAAATGACATTTTTTGGTGATTTATCGTTAGCAACTGTGGTTAGCAACGAAATTGTTTGGAGTCAGTATAAGCTTCGCCCATCTCTGTGACGGCAGACTTAGGCAGTCTATTCAGGGAAAAACTGTTGATTTTGTGGGGTACTTTCGTATAACAGCAAACGTGGACGACCATAATGCAGCGACAAGGAACAACGACCAGATGGAACGTTACATATAATTACACTGCATACCCAGCATAAACACAAAGATTGTGCAATTTGTGCTAACCGAAAAGTTCCAGGTGGCAGAAAAGAGACTTCGTATATAATCGAAACCTGTGACAGAAAACCGAACACTTGCAGAAAACTTGCACTTTTGATTCTTGTACTCTGCTCCATCTTGCAACTGCTGCTACTGGTTCGATGCTATCAACATTTGTGGCCATACCAACACATTTTTTATCATTCTATTTTATCCACAATATTTTGTTTTTGCTATCAAATCTATGATCATAGGATCCTAGAGGTAACTTTTCTAGGTCTTTGGTTGGTGGCAATGGACATTTTGCAGTCCTATTTTCTCTGATAGTATTGTTGCATACACTTGCATTTCTTTTAATTGACGAAATAAGACATGATTGCTAAAAAAATTATCAAGATATAAGCAACAACTTTTTGGACTTTTTACAGCAGTTAGCAATTTCAAAACAACTCTAGTGCCAAGTTTGCCCTGTTTCTTTCCGCTTTCCTTGCCAGTATAAGGAAAAAAGAAATAGCAATATCCATCTTTACCACAAAGTGCCCAGAGTTTGTAACCAAATCGTATTGACTTATGGCTGGTTTAGGATATCAAACGTAACCGTAACCGTAGCAGTAGTTTTAACCGTAACAGTAAGGAACTTAACGCTTACAGCTGACCAGTTTAGAAAGCAACTTTAAGATTTTAAAATTTAAATATGTAGTCAATAAAATAACGAGAAAAGTACGGAACGTTTAAAAGTAAAAGTGTGTGGTGAATACTCTGTTCACCACTTGCAACGCTACTGCAACGTGTTTCAGTACTTGCAACGAGTACTGAAACACCAGCCCGTGATGTCAACATGTAAACACAAAACAGCTGTACGTAGCCATGTTTAACATTGACCCTTTGCATTAGTGCGCATGCTTAAATTTTGTCCTAAACGTAAGAAGTTAAAAGTTGGTCAACTTTAGGTGTTACGGCTACATCGGCCGTAGCCTTAAGCGGTTCCCTAAACGGTGCTATTGAAACACATTGGTTTATCTTTTCTTACTGCTACGGCTAAGGTTATGGCTACAGCCGTTAAGTTTGACATCCTAAACCCACCATTACTCTTTATGAACTGTTTTAGTGAGTGGTGGCCTTAATACCTTATAATCATTTTATCTATAGACAAATTTTCTTGAATCATACCAAAGTTTTGAAAATTTGCGTTTACCATATCTAACAATGGTTTAATTTTAAAAAATGTATCGCCTTCACTTTCATTAGCTTTGGTGCTATTTTGAAAATGTATCAAAGACTTTATTTCAAGATATGTGTTTCTGCTCATAGCATTTTTTACAATAGGCTGTCCGAAATTGTCGTCGTGTGACCAATAATCGCGCTCAGATATTAACATATGGTAGCTACTAAATACAAGAAAGAAAATAGAAATTTTAGTCTCATCTTTTGTGAACAACCAAAACGGACTTTTGAGGCGCGCAAAGTGTATTCCAAAAACATGTTACTCTTGGTTATGTGGAGATATTGTTGAACGACATATCTTTATAATGATAGGCACTAACGATATACTCCACAAATCCCCACTGCAGTCCCAATATTCCTCCGCTTCCTTCTTTATATGCAACACAGAAAATTAATATAATCAATTTCTTTCTCTTGAACTAAAATTAAAACTAAAACTAGAACTAACACTAGAAACTTTCGGGTTTTGACGTGTGTCTTTTGAGAAAAGGTTTGACGTTTCGGATGCCATGTTGCAACCTTCTTCAAAAAGCAGCTTTCTCCGCTGTTTTGAAAATTGATGAAAATACTTAGAACTGTGTTCTATTATGTGGTAGAATTTGGCGTAATTCGAAGGCGCCCATCAGAGTGAAAACATCCCTTTTTCGGAGGTGGGGGTTGAAAATTTTTTTTTTACCAAATGCGTGTTGTAAGCTGTTCTTGAGGGTAAGACTGTCCTGTATGTGAAATTTGGTGACCCAAATCGTATTGATTACGGAAGTAAGAATGATTTAAGTTTATGGCTGGGATTTATAAATAACTTCACACCAGTAAATTTCTTTTAATAATTCTTATTTACAGATAAAAATCTTTTTGTATTGGTCTTTATGCATATCAGCAGCCGTTTACACCTTAATCAAACAAATTAGTGGTGCTCAAAAAGCATCATCAGTCGTGAGAAAAACATTCCACATCTTAGCAGTTTTAATTTATGTACCGGGATTATTAGCGGAATGTTCGATTCTTTATTTAGCAAGTGGGGTCGTTTTGGGACTTTTTATAGGAATCGAAGTAAATTAATATATTAAATGCGTTTATTTATACTAAAATTGATTTTTTTAGACGACTCGTTTGATAAGGTTACCTCAAGTGGTAACTTTCCTCGAAGATGGTTTTTCCGTTTTTCGCGATGAAAAAGACATTGGATCCGTCGCTTTAACACCAATGTATTTATTAGCGGGGGTTTCATTTCCGATTTGGATACATCCTTCTCCATGCGATATGACAAATTCAGCTGGATTTAATTTATTACCGCTTTTAAGTGGGATTTTATCAATTGGTGTTGGAGATTCGGCCGCTAGTTATTTGGGTGCATGGATTGGTAAACATAAATGGAAAGGTAAAAATGAAGTTTTTAATTTGACATTTAAGAAGGAATCTGCTTTACCGACATTTTTGAAATCATTTATTTTAGGGTCATTTAAAACGATTGAAGGGACGATGGGTTGTGTTTTAAGTCAAGTATTATTTATCTACCTCTTAATGCATTTGGGTAAATTGTTTATTATTATAATTGTGTTGTTTTTGAGGTTGTAAATTTGTAGGTTATGTTGATATGCATTTAAATACATTGATAAAAGTTGGATTGGCGATAACTGTAACGTCTGTTGTTGAGGCAAAAACGACTCAAGTTGATAATTTGGTTCTTCCCATGGTGATGTATTTAATGCTGGTTTAAAAAATTTGACACATAATGGATTTTTTGATCCCGTTAAAATGTATTGACTGATAAATACCAAAAACAAGGACTTATTTATTTTTTAGGGTGGTTTTAACGTATTTATTGAGTACTTTAATAAGTAATTAATTAAGGGAATTTGATATGGATCGAATAATTGAGTTGCGAATCAATTTAATCAAATTTATTAAATAAATTAATCTATTTACATTAAAATTAAAAATATCAGGGTATTTTCTGAGGTTTCTTTCCGATATTTTCCGCCTCCTCAATAGTATCCGGTAATTTGGTGTTTAATGTTTCTGGAAATGCCAAAGTTAAAAGCCCAGCAATAGCTGCCATGCCGGTGAATAAAACTAAAGGAAGTGGCTTCCATAATTGTTCCTTAAAAAAAATAATAACAATAAAAATTAAGAAGAAATTTATTTTATTTAGTACCAAAAGTGGCATTTGTGGTGAAACCATCGACCCAATCCTCGCAATCATTGAACAACCCCCCATTAAAGAATGCCTTAAAGGTGTTGGGAAAATTTCGCTAGAAATTATGTAACATATCGTAAAAGCTGCTGTTGCTCCAAATTTCCCTAATAAATAGAAACATAAAGCCAAAACGTGTTGATCTGGAAAAATAAGAATGTTAAAAATGTGCTTTATTTGAAATTTATTTTTATAATTTACCTTTACTTATAAAGATATAAGCAAAACAAGCTACAGCAGTAATAAAGAATGATAAGCTTTGAGTCCATCGCCTTCCAAAACGATCAACGGTGATGTAAGTAGCGATATAAGCTGGAATTTCGACTAACGAAGTTAAAATAAAATCGACGTAACTATTTCCAGCTAAAGAAACCGCGTTTAATGTTAAACCATAGAACAAAAACGCGCATGATAACCAACAAAAACATGAATTAAAAAATCTCATCACTAAAATTCTCGATTTAAACACATGGAAAAACGGTTCTTTCGCAATTTCATCAACGGGAACCGTCAACTTTTCTAAGGCATGTTTCGAAATTGTTCTGCCATTAATTCGGGCTGCTTTCATAAGGATATCTTCGGCTTCTTTGTAACGTTTTTGACTGAGAAGCCATCGAACTGATTCTGGGATGAGCCATTGATACGAGATTATTAAAAAAATTGGAACGTAAAGGACTAAAATTGTAATTCTAAAAAATAAAAATTTATTAATGATGGAATTGATTAAAGATTTAATCAACTTACTTCCAATCCATGCTTAACCATGCTACGGCAGCCGCTAAAACTTCTCCTAAAGCGAAACAACAACAAATTAATGTTCCTGCTAATACACGTTTTTTTGGGCCAACTAATTCAACGGCTAAAACAAACCCGGTTGCGTAAGTCCCCGATTGGAATAGGGCGTCTAAAAATTCGAGCGTCGTGAAAACGATGTAGTTTGGAGCGAAAGCTCTGGCAGTTCCAAAAATTGCACCTCCAACCATTCCCCATATTAATACAAATTTTCTTCCTAATCTAAATCATAATGAAGATGATAATATTCTTTTTTTTTGTTTGAGGTTTTTTTTATACTTGTCTGAAACGATTCCGCTAATAATTAAGGAAAAGAATTGTCCCAAAGTATTGATTGTCCCAACGAGAGTTAATTTCCATAAATTGTCATCGCAAAATAGATTGTACTAAAAATAAAGAAATTATTTTGTTTTAGTTAGATGAAAAATATACAATAATCTAACGGCAAATTACAACTAAAATAGAACTAACACTAGCACTAGAACTAACACTAGATCTAGAATCAGAATAAGTTCTGGTTTAGCCGCACGTTTCTTAAGATGGTTAGGTCTTGTGTTAGTTCTACTTTTGCACCACAAAAATGTACCACAATTTAACGCTAAATAACAATTACTAGAGAAACATTCACGTTTAGCCGCACGTCTCTCAAGACGGCTAAACCCGAATGATTCTAGTTCTAGATCTTGTGTTAGTTCTAGTGATAGTGTAAAACTAGAATTAACACTAGACCTAGAACTAGAAACATTCGGGTATAGCCGTGAGTCTGAAGACGCACGGTTAAACCCGATACTTTCAAGTTGTAGGTCTAGTGTTAGTTCTAGTTTTAGTGCAATAAAAATATGCAACATTGTGATATCTTATGTTAACTAGCGCTACCTACCACTGTCACTAGAACTAACATTGGACCTAGAAACATTCAGGTTTAGCCGTCTTAATAGACGAACGGCAAAACCCGAATGTTTCTGGTTCTAGGTGTAGTGTTAGTTCTACTTTTCTTTCCATAAAAATATACCACAATCTAACGCTAAATAACAATTAAAATTAGAACTAACACTAGAGCTTGAACTAGAAGCATTCGGGATTAGCCGCACATCTCTCAAGATGGCTAAACCCGAATGATTCTAGTTCTAGGTTTAGTGTTAGTCCTAGTGATGGTGCTAGTGTAAAACTAGACATACAACTAGAAATATTCTGCTTGAAGTGCTTCTCTTAAGACGGCTAAAGAGGGACCAAAATGGAAACCATCATCACAGAATCTATAAATTCAGACCAAATATGTATGTAACAAAATTTTACCTCCCCTTCTTTTCATTTACAAAAAAAAACATAAATATTGTTTTATTATTACAGCAACGCGAACATCCGTTTTGAAAAAATGTTCCCAAGAATGTTCACAAGAAGGTTACTTAACCGACAGCGAGGACTGCATCAAATTTTACAGATGCGTGCCGAACGAATCCGGAAGTTATCATCAATATTCTAATCATACAGGGTTGTTTATGTAAGTCGTGGCATAATTTTAATCACAAAAACTAGAGTGAAGATGATGATTCGTGTACAAATTTCTGATCTAAACCCATAAATGGCTAATTGTAAGGTATGGGCCTTCAAAGTTAACAAATTTTCAAACATTTTTTAAAATATTTTCAATATGGTTTGTCTTAGAAAAACTAAATTTGCCAAACAGTGCAATGTTATCATAAGAAATCGTTTAAGATCACAAAATAATATCACACAACAAGATCAATGCTGTACAGGGTGTTAACAATGGTTATTTCTTTAAAATTTGTTTATTATTTCATAAACCCGTAAAGTTTCCAACTGATTCTAAAAGCCTATTTCATTTTTAAATTATTTTCACTCTTACAAATTTTTGATTAGACGCATCGTTTTCTAGATCTTTGCAAAAAGATACAACCTCGATTTTGGAATGTTTTCATTAATTGTAGGTGCCTATGAAAACAAATTATAAGTATAGACAACCTGATAGAAAAACATTTCTAAATATCCAAGACATTTACGTGAGGCAGGAAATTTAACCCCTTCCCTACCAGAATTAAATTTTATAAAACGTAATTTATCATCCAGCGGTACTTTTAAGTCCCACTTAAATTCTAATAATCACGTTAGCTTTGATTAGCTGAACGTATCTATATTTTGCGAGACTTTTAAATACCGCTGGTAGACAAAGGGTTAAGACAGAAGTATGTAAATAACGGAAATCAGAGGTCAGATCGTACACCCTATCTAGAAGAAAACATTTCGGATTTTGTGGCAGATCGTAATACTGTTAGTACTGTTGATAGCAACAGTTTAGACTTAGACATTTCAGAATATCCAAAGGTACATCTTGGCATGTCTTACATGAACAGCAGTTGTATCTATACCATTTGTCGAGAGTACAAGTGATACAGAAATTGCTGATCATCCATTGCAAGCACAGTGTTGCCACACTATGATGGAAAAAATGTACTATTGTTGCTGCGTTTTTAGCAAAAGGTACTTTTTACGGATAACCATTAACTTGAGAAATGCTGAACAATAATTGTACTGAAGAAAATCCAGATTTTATGGTTTTATATATTTAGAGATTTTATAGATTTTATATACAGGACGTTGACATTTAAAGCTGTCAACGGCGTTATTTCGGCACCTACTTTGATTGTAATTTGCTGATTTAATATTTTCAGTGAACGCACTTTTTATCGATTTTTTTCTAATACAACCATATGATTGGATATGTTCATCGCGTAGAGGGATTTATCATGTATTAAAATGTGCAAAAAAAAACAAATGCATCCCATTTAAAATAACAATGTTGGTTGCCATAGCAACGAAACAAAGAACAATGTCAACAAGCAAGTATCGCCAAAAAATGCGTCACAATTAATTAAAAAAATTTTATTTGAAACATTTTTCTGTAAAACCACAAATGGCGGAGTTATTGGCTATACTCAGCTGCTAATATCATTTCCTCACACCGAGACTAACGTTGCTGCTGTCAAAATAAATTCTGATGTGCAATCACTTGTTGCCACTTCTGAGGCGCATGGCTTAAAAGTAAACTCCAGCAAATCTAATGTGATTGTATTTGGTAACAGGAATCATAGGAAATTTGTTAATGACAATCTTAAAATTTGTGTAAATAATCAAGAACTACAACACGTACGCACTGTGAAAAATTTGGGTTTGTTAATAGTTGATGAATAAGCTATTACAGAAATCATATTGCGTATTAATATCCCTTTATTCATATCGGCATGTATTAAATGAGAACAGTAAGAGATTACTGACTGATTCTCTGATTTTATCCAAAATGGGTACTTAAGACTAATTTATGGAATTCGAAAGTACTGCAGACTCTCACATAAGTTAAAAGCAGACCTCACTACTTTGCCCAGCCATCTGTTAGCCTTTATTATTACGTTTTTGTATTTTGTTTTTTTTTTACTTGTACGCTAATTGTAAGGGTTAATAAAGGCATTTGACACACCCTGTATATTATGTAATCAAAAATTTGTAAGAGTAAAAATAATTTTAAAATGAAATAGGCTTTTAGAATCAGTTGGAAAATTTAATAGTTTACGACTTAATAAAAAAGTTTTAATGAAATAACCTTTGTGAACGCCCTGTGTAGCATTGATCCCGTGTTTGTACATTTTCAAAAGTGATCTTGAGCGATTTCTCACGATAACATTGGACTGTTTGCGAAATTTTAACCTTCCAAGACAAACAATATTGAAAATATGTAAGAAAATGTTTAAAAATTTCTTAACTTTGACGGCATATATCTTAGCCATTTACGGATTTAGACCAAAAAATTTTATACGAATCGTCATCATTTTGACTCTAGTATTTGTGATTAAAATTATGCCACGAAACTCCCCTGTATAATTGCGCTCCTAAATCTATAAGACTAAGATGAAGAATGGTGGAGGTCAAACTGGGAAAAGTGGATGTGAATCTTCAGAAAGTCCAGGTCAATTAGAGATACCGGGACAAGATGAAAGTTTTGGTCAATCAGGTAGAATAGGTACTCCAGGAAGTCCGGGAACTACAGGTATTATTGTGGGAACTCCAAGTACTCCACGAAGTCCAAGGCAAGATGGAAATGGTGGCTGAAGTTTAGGTCAACCAGTCAGGCACTCTAGGAACTCAAGGACAAGGTGAAGGAGGAGATTCTAGATCTCATGGAATACCAGGAGAAAATCAACCAAATACATCAGAATCACCTAATACTTAGACACCAACATCAACGTCATATCTAACAAGTAAAACTTCAAAATTCCATTTAGCCGTGCGTCTGTTAAGACTAGTTCTAGGTCTAGTGTTAGTTCTAGTTTTAGTTCAATAAAAAATATACAGGGTGTCCCACGTAAGCAACAAAGTACATAAATGGCATTAAGGAGCCGAGATACGCAGTTCTTCCTTAGACAAGAGTTGTAGGATATTGTAGGAATTTGATGTTTTACCATATTCAAAAATGTCGAAAATTTTAAATGGAACACCCCATGTTTGACTACTTAATCAGATAGAGAATTTAATTCTCTACAAATCTTCAGTATGCACAGAATGGCAGATCTTATTCATTTTTTCCTTAGTAGGCCATTATATAAGACGATAAATAATCTTCTTTCGTCGTTGGAATATTAGTGAAGTTCGGTTTTGACATATCCCCTAATGAAGAAGTTGCGGGGAGTTAGATCGGGTGATTGTGCTGGCCAAGGTATTGGACCTCCACGACCAATCTAATGTCTTCCATATCCAATATTTAAAAAGTTTTGAGAAACGTCCCTCAAATAATATGCAGGTGCCACGTTGTTGAAATATCATTCTTTGTCTAGTTCCTAAATCTACATCTTCTAGCAACTCTGGGAACTCTTTTTCTACAAATGTTTTGTAAATTTGTCCCGTCAGAATACCATCAAAGAAAAATGGCCCAACTATTTTACGGTTAAATATTCCGCCCCAAACATTTAACGACCATACATTTTGATTGTTTACGCGCGTTAGCCATACAGGATTTTCGGTTGCATAATAATGCATTCCGTTGCTTTTAAAAGTAGCTTCATCAGTAAATAGAATTGATGATACAAAAAGAGGGTTTTCATTTATTTCATCTAAAATTGTCGTACAGAAAGCTACTCTGTTAGCAAAATTATCTCCATGAAGTTCTTGGTGTAAATTCAAATCATATGGGTGGTAGTTGTGAAGCTTTATAATTCAGTTTAGTGAGCTTTTACTCATAAAAGTATATCTGTTGCTCTAGCGATCTGTCGTGTACTAACATGCGGATTCTCTTGCAAACTTAATAAAATATTTAGTTCGTTGTTCTCTTCTCAAACCGCATACGACTTTTTCGCCGTTTAGGTATGTCGACACTTCCAATATCTTCAAATCTATACAGGG